ACATCGGTGCAATAATAACGGAAAAATACACATACAATTAATACAGGTCTAATATATTTCTGTTTAGATTTTTTGATAATTTGTTTTTGTTTAAAAAAGAAGAAGATTAATGTCACTGTAAAAATATCACCTTACGTATTGACCAATCAGATGGCACTTTTTATTCATTTCATTCGAAGCCTAACATTTTATGTTTAGATGCAGATGAAGCGACGAGAGAATAAGTAGTAGTTTTGGAAAACCTTTGCTACATAAACTAAGATATTTATTTACCTATTAAGTGATTTAATTAAAAACCAATCTTACCAAATAATAGCAGTAGTCATTTGAACATGACGCCGAAGTTCAAACTATGGTATCCACAACTGTTTTGATACAGAAACATTTTCATCATGTAATGGTAGGTAGTTTTAAAATGTAATAGGACGAATATCTAAAGGTTGTCTCGTTGAATACCAATGTATGTTTTGTTCGTAAGTATTAACGGTATGACAGTTACACTTTTTGTCTGTATGTAATAACGGTATATGACAGTAACAGTGTCTTTCCGTAAGTAATAACGGTATGACAGTTACAGTGTATGTCCGTATGTAATAACGGTATGACAGTTACACTTTTTGTCTGTATGTAATAACGGTATGACAGTTACACTCTTTGTCTGTATGTAATAACGGTATGACAGTTACAGTGTCTGTCCGAATGTAATAACGGTATGACAGTTACAGTGTCTGTCCGTATGTAATAACGGTATGACAGTTACAGTGTCTTTCCGTATGTAATAACGGTATGACAGTTACAGTGTATGTCCGTATGTCATAACGGTATGACAGTTACAGTTTCTGTTCGTATGTATAACGGTATGACAGTTACAGTGTCTGTCCGTATGTAATAACGGTATGACAGTTACAGTGTATGTCCGTATGTAATAACGGTATGACAGTTACAGTTTCTGTTCGTATGTATAACGGTATGACAGTTACAGTGTCTGTCCGTATGTCATAACGGTATGACAGTTACAGTGTCTATCCGTATGTAATAACGGTATGGCAGTAACAGTGTCTTTCCGTAAGTAATAACGGTATGACAGTTACAGTGTCTGTCCGTATGTAATAACGGTATGACAGTTACAGTGTCTATCCGTATGTAATAACGGTATGACAGTAACAGTGTCTTTCCGTATGTAATAACGGTATGACAGTTACAGTGTCTGTCCGTATGTAATGATGGTATTCCAGTTACAGTGTCTGTCCTTATGTAATAACGGTATGACAGTTACAGTTTATGTCCGTATGTAATAATGGTATGACAGTTACAGTGTCTGTCCGTATGTAATAACGGTATGACACTTACAGTGTCTGTCCGTATGTAATGATGGTATGACAGTTACAGTGTCTGTCCGTATGTAATAACGGTATGACAGTTACAGTGTCTGTCCGTATGTCATAACGGTATGACAGTTACAGTTTCTGTCCGTATGTAATAACGGTATGACAGTAACAGTGTCTGTCCGTATGTAATAACGGTATGCCAGTTACAGTGTCTGTCCGTATGTAATAACTTTATGACAGTTGCAGTGTCTGTCCGTATGTAATGATGGTATTCCAGTTACAGTGTCTGTCCTTATGTAATAACGGTATGACAGTTACAGTTTCTGTTCGTATGTATAACGGTATGACAGTTACAGTGTCTGTCCGTATGTAATGATGGTATGACAGTTACAGTTAATGTCCGTGTGTAATAACGGTATGCCAGTTACAGTGTCTGTCCGTATGTAATAACGGTATGACAGTTACAGTTTATGTCCGTGTGTAATAACGGTATGACAGTTACAGTGTCTGTCCGTATGTAATAACGGTATGACAGTTACAGTTTCTGTCCGTATGTAATAACGGTATGACAGTTACAGTGTCTGTCCGTATGTAATGATGGTATGCCAGTAACAGTGTCTGTCCGTATGTAATAACGGTATGACAGTAACAGTGTCTGTCCGTATGTAATAACGGTATGACAGTTACAGTATCTGTCCGTGTGTAATAACGGTATGACAGTTACAGTTTCTGTCCGTATGTAATAACGGTATGACAGTTACAGGGTCTGTCCTTATGTAATAACGGTATGACAGTTACAGTTTCTGTCCGTATGTAATAACGGTATTTTGTCTGTATGTAATAACGGTATGACAGTTACAGTGTCTTTCGGGATGTAATAACGGTATATGACAGTTACAGTGTCTGTCCGTATGTAATAACGGTATGACAGTTACAGGTTCTGTCCGTATGTTATAACGGTATGACAGTTACAGTTTATGTCCGTATGTAATAACGGAATGACAGTTACAGTGTCTGTCCGTGTGTAATAACGGTATGACAGTTACAGTGTCTTTCGGTATGTAATAACGGTATATGACAGTTACAGTGTCTGTCCGTATGTAATAACCGTATGACAGTTACAGTGTCTGTCCGTATGTAATAATGGTATGACAGTTACAGTGTCTGTCCGTATGTCATAACGGTATGACAGTTACAGTGTCTGTCCGTATGTTATAACGGTATGACAGTTACAGTTTATGTCCGTATGTGATAATGGTATGACAGTAACAGTGTCTGTCCTTATGTAATAACGGTAAGACAGTTACAGTTTCTGTCCGTATGTAATAACGGTATGACAGTTACAGTTTATGTCAGCATGTAATAATGGTATGACAGTAACAGTGTCTGTCCTTATGTAATAACGGTATGACAGTTACAGTTTCTGTCCGTATGTTATAACGGTATGACAGTTACAGTTTCTGTCCGTATGTTATAAAGGTATGACAGTTACAGTTTCTGTCCGTATGTTATAAAGGTATGACAGTTACAGTTTCTGTCCGTATGTTATAAAGGTATGACAGTTACAGTTTCTGTCCGTATGTTATAAAGGTATGACAGTTACAGTTTCTGTCCGTATGTTATAACGGTATGACAGTTACAGTTTCTGTCCGTATGTCATAACGGTATGACAGTTACAGTTTTTGTCCGTATGTAATAACGGTATGACAGTTACAGTTTCTGTCCGTATGTAATAATGGTAAACACTGTTACAGTGTATGACCATATTCAATATATATGTGAAGTGTAGAATGACATTATTATCAGAATTATTTGACAAATTAAACTAACTTTAGCACTATGACCGATGTTTTTTTCGATATTATTTTAAATTTCAAATTAATGTTGAACGCTTGTTATTTGAACCTGATAAATAATAAAAGGAATCACAGTTAAACCATATATAAACAAAGAGTATATATAAAACATATTCCTTTTTTCTTTTCAAATGTTTAACAACGTTAAACCCGAATATTATTATTAACAAACATGGCGGTATAAGACTTTCAGTAAATTTCCGGGGTAACAGGGTTTCCCTGTGCAATATCCTTGGTCTTCTGTGGACTATACGTTGATCGCCACCGGTGGGCTATATTACCCGCCTTCCCTGGGTTGATTTCCTAGTCTCTTGTGGCGCTGTCCAGAGTGTGCCGGGACCAGGGACGTCTAAACCCTATAGTCCTGACCGAGTGATGTATCGATTGAAAGGCATTTCAAACCGTCGTCTTGGCATACAAGTCAAATTTTGATGAAAATAGGCAAACGTGTGTGAAATGAAAACATGACGGGATTTGTTTAATATAGCGGCACGTCAATATCTACATCTGGATGTTGGGTATATAGGAATCGCTCGCAATTACTCTTGAGGGATACATATACAGCTTGAGAGATTAGGTCATTTCCTTACAAGAGTCTGCAGATATGACGAACCATACATATTAGTCAATCACAGATCGCCGGAGTTCCGATTCAAATGAGTTATTCTCCGGTGTGGTTTTTGTTTCAGACAGCGCGATGAACAACTCCCTCTAAAATAATAGTTATAAACACACTATGTCGACTCAAGACATGAACCTTTGCTCGGTGACTAATGGAAAATTTTCACTTATGTGAAGATAAATATAAATAAACGATATAAGCCAATCAATAACAACAGTGAAATACGAAATGGTTTAAAACGTTAGGCTAACATTTTAACGCAAGGAATAATTTATAGGCTGTGGAATGTAATCGTCACTCCTTTGTATTGTTTTTCCACACGAGACATGTAAATGGTATCAAAGTGCTGTATTACGATAAATAATCGCTCAATAACACCAGCGATGAGAGGTTAATGATGATGGCCATCAACTCTAGCGGGGACATATGCACTACATTAGCTTACCTGTTCATGGTGTTTTATTTTCCCGTCAAGCGACAATTATCGATCGAGCACTTTAATAAGTTTGATAGAATCGCGGTCTCTGATTCTACAGTTCTAGTATACACGATGTATGACAGATATGGTTGTTGACATCTGTTGCTTCCATTTTCCACTCACTCACGCGCATCCCTCCCGAGAGGGTTCCGAACGTATCGACCCTTTCTGCTCATTAAGTGCCATTATGCAGGTAAATTATCAGAACTCCATTGTATCTAAAACATTTCCAATAGAGCGTCCAGCTAGCCAATATTTTATTTATTCCGCAGAGTTATAAATCAGAGATCGGAGCGGTGATCATATTCAGTATTTCAGAAGGACGCAAGGACAGGTTTTCTCGGCGAAAATCTATTCCACGGGCACAAAACCGAATGACATGACACCGACCCGTATTCTGAAAAATAATACCGTCAACATAAGGATAAAAATCAAGAAACCTCTTCCCAATATGTAGCCATGATTTCCTCATCGAGTCTTACTGATCAGTTTATTTAAATCTACTCGCATGTAATTAATGTCAGAAAAGTATGAAGGCTTTAAATTTAGAAGCACTGGCAAGTCAACAATCGTGACTTAAATAGGATGCTTCCTGATATAGAATCATGATTCCAAATCCAATAAGATATAACCGTGATAGAGGAGGAGCTGGTGTGATGCTGACTTCGGTACGGACGACCAGCGTCATTGACAACTATAACCGTTCGCTGTTCAGATGTACCGGTGTACGGATGCAGTGGCGAGCTGGACCCTCGCTCTGATAGTGCATCTGTAGCGTAGTGCCATTTACCATGTCGCTAGCGCGTAGTATGGAAGTAAATTTTTCGTCCTTCATGTGTTACGTTTCAAACTGTTTTTCCAGCAAAAATATCAATAGCAAAAGGTGTTATTATACAAGCAATGGAAATAACGTGTTCCAACCAAAATGGCCCGCGATCTGTGTGGATTAATATCACTCCTGGGCTACTTCTTCATTTCTTTGGTGATTTCCGTTTGCGGTGTTTGTTCTCAAGTAAGAATTCTAGGAATCTGTGATCAGGAATTAAAGAATATGTGTCTCGGAACATTTGAAAAGCACTTCAAGGAAAACATATATTCCAATGGCGTGAATATCACTTGGGAGGTAATTGAAGGAAGTAAAAATTACGATTATAACTTAAGGAATCTCACAGGAATTGCACTGTCTGGTGTTTGGGATGTAGGGATCGCCTTTGGAAATAGTTCTGTCATCAATGCAGCAACGACATTCGCAACGTCTACACAACTTCCGCTTCTAGTTTACGACACTTCAGATGCGAAAAAGCCCGTAAGTATATTCTGTTGGCACTTCAACGTCGTTTTCACTTCCTGGGCGCTTCTCTTGTGAAACATAAATCAGCAATATACCTTTGTTTTTAAAAACAATTTCTACAGAAATAGCAAATCTCTCTTGATTTGTTATATTCTAATTATGAGCACACCATAAAACAAGATCATGACGTCACTTTAAAGATTGGTACAGGTAATGCACGTTAATGTGCCAATTTAAAAAAGATATGGCTATTTTTTTTTGGTAAAGAACATATGAACGTTTCATAAATATCACCATGAGTGAAATCAAATTAAAACATAAGTGTCTGATTGGTTCACAACGGTAATTGACTTCATTATTTCCTAAATGTTTTCAACAACAAAATTATTATACTACTAAGAAATTAGGAGAAAATGTCGAAAGAAAAAAAACCCATATAATTTCTTTAAGTACATATTTTATGATGATCACCAGTATGGTTTCAGTATGGAGATTTCCCCAGGTGTTAATGGTCAATTTAACGATCTATGACTGAACAGGTTTTCTCTATCAGATATCAAACAACGTCCGCGCTGAACGCACGAACCTATGTCAACTGGTACATCTACATTCATATAGGCTTATAGTTGGTCTTGATACATGTTTATTTCAGGATAATTTGCTTTAAACCTGAAATGAAAGCCATACCGTTTACACGTTTCAGACTCTCCGTTTCCTTCCTGATTATATTCGGAGCACGTCTAGGCACATACATTAAGAAACGACTCTGTGTGCATGGTCTGTCGAGTTAGATGAAAACTTTAAGGGACATTTTAATTAACTGAAGTATAACAAGTTTTTTCTTAACAAATGTTTTAAATGGATTAAAATTTCAGTACCATTATGAATTCATATTTATGTTGAAGATTTTCAGAAAAAAATCCAGCCACCAACATTCAAAGTGCAAAAGAATATTTGCATATCTATAAAGTCTACGGCATAAAATGTATATATCGCGTTCGCGCTCTCGTCGCGCGAGCGCTATCTGCGATTAGTCAATAGCATCTCCGGCAGCTCTGAGGAATCACACTGATATGATAATAAATACTGGCTCAATGTTCAGTTACTTACGTCGAAATATAAATTTGGTAAAAATTTTTTCGTTTGGTATGATGACCCAAGCCACATATACCAAACAATTCCGTTATGGAAGTCATATTGAATTGACAGAATCGATACAAAGTCTTTGCTCTAGTAAGCCCTGGATCATCACACTGATTCAAAATTCAGTTATCTTGAATATAAAGTTGATATTTTATTTTTCATCTTTCAGCATTCATGAGATTTAATCAAATGGACGTTTTTGCCATTAGATGAGTATTCCTTTATGACCAGATTGTCATCTATCTTTTGAATCCAATAAGATGTGGAACATTGTGTTTGGTAAAGCTTGTGTCGGATTTTGAGCCCCGTTACTAAGCCCTACCAGTTTGTATTTATAAAAACGGTCTTGTATAAACCCAAGCTTCCTTTTTGAACATTTAGGCTAATCGTCATCCTTCTGGATGTTACTTTGTAAAATAAAATTATCAGTTTTTTTGTCCACCTTAAATCTTTATTTCTTGGAATAATTTATGAGGAATTTGGATGATAGACAACTAACAATAAGAAAAGCCTTATCAACTGTTTTATTGTGTGTTTAACATTCAGCAGAGAGGATGTTGAAAAAACCCACCGTAGGATTAATCAAAACACTGCATTATACCACCGGAACGAGACCCTAACCCGAGAGGCAAAGCTGTTTTCCGCCAACAACTCGGGCGATAGGAGGATTATAATGGTGTGTTTATATTATCAACAGGTGTAAAACTGCTGTTAAATCTACACACTAATCACTAGTATAGAGCAGAATTGTTTCCAGTGTTGACGTGTCGATCAATGGACGATCCAATGTATAGTCCTACCTGTAATCGACCCTCACACCAGCCCGTCCTGGTGCTGGACGTGTCATACAACGAAGGCCAAAGATACACCAGAGGTATTCCTGGTAGAGTATCGGCGTGGTCGGAGCTGGGACAGGGTGGTAATCAGAAGATACACATATGGGAATGGGTAGATTGAGAAAATGTGTAAAACACGACCGGATAGTTAATGGTTAATAATGTAAATATTACTTTCGTATGTGACCTCTGTAAATTATGTTTACTTTAGGTCGCCATTATCCACACGATTAACGACCGTTCAAATATACCAATTAGTCTTGTTCTTTCAGTTTCTTCGATAGTACTCATCTGTCAAACTGTATACTCACATAGCCTGTGTATAATCTTCAGGAGATCCAACTGAAGTCTACACGTATGTAGGCGGATCAGTATAAGTACTCGGAAAACAGATTGAGGTCCATACTTATGCATTCAGTTTGACGGTGAGTATTAAAGGATTGGCAAGTAGTGTCCAGGGAACCATTTCATGGCCAGTCTGATGGATACAGTATGGATGTTGGTGTACAGATTGGTTTGGTTTTATTCTATTCAACGTCCTATGATCAGCTAAGGTCATTCAAGGACATGTCTCAATGCGTGTTGTGTATGTGTGTATGTGTACTGGAGGCAGGGTATTTTGGTGTAATTGCCTCCTTGTGATAGCGCGGTTCTGATGCAAACTGTATAGTGCTATCTCACTGAAATGCCATGCCAAAGGAACCCAGCACAGCATTCCGCCCGGTCACATGATACTAACAACGAGTGAACCAGTTGTTGCCATTACCCTAAATGCTGAACGTTAAGCAGGGAATAACAAGTATCATTTTAAGAACTTTTGTATGTTCCGGTCTGGGGGCAGAAACCATTGCCTTCCTCACCTGGGCAAACGTTCAACATCAATACCAAAAGCGAGGCATTGTCAAGCAAAGCGCTAGGGAATAAAAGATATTTAGAAGCAGAGAAATAGAAAGACCCCGACTATTGCAATGGATGCAGCAGATTTATTTTGGTAACATTGTTTGTCCCAAAATAGAAGGCACTAAAGCAAATACCAAATTCTGCTAGGGGTTCTCACATTAGTAGCCTCTTACGATACATGCAGTGGGTAACAGCAGATGTATTATTTTCTCGATCCCCGACCTACAGGGGTGTAGTGTGTAGAAAACTAACTCATGACCATACTGAAGGGAACTGCATTGCAATAAGTGTGTGTTCTATCCCCAGTTACTCAAAAAGCTTCGTTAGCTTTAACCAGTGGTTAGAGAAAAAGTTAAAAATTTAGATAATATATAATATTGATACACGAAAATAAAAAAACAATCTTATATATTTCACCGCTATATGTTTGATAAGACGGATTAGATTGATGTATTTTGCGTTGAAGCTCTTTCGTCGTACTGACAATAATTTGAATTTTTTCCCAGCCACTGATTAAAGTTAACCAACCTTTGAGCAACAGGGTTTGATAAATAAATTTAAGGTCTATACTGACGGATAAGTATAGATATTAGTGTGCACAGACCGTACTCTGAGCGAACTATGATCAATATATCTTAGACTTTAATAGTAGTCTCTGACTAAAGCATTGACGTCGACAACGCTGAGTTAATACATCTACCACGGAACGGTTCGTGCTCAAAAACCAAATGGGTAAAATACTTGAACAGCGAAACGGTTTGTGCTAAGAGAACCAAATTGGGGTAATTCTTGAATAGCGGAACTGTTTGTGCTCAGAGAATCGAATTGGGATAATACTTTACCAGCGGAACGGTTCGTGATCAGAGAACCAAATTGGGGCAATACTTTAACAGCGGAACTGTTCGTATTCAAAAACCAAATTGGGGAAATACTTGAACAACGGAGCGGTTCGTGCTCAGATAATCAAATTTGGTTAATACTTTAACAGCGGAACGGTTCGTGCTCATATAACCAAATTGGGGTAATACTTGGACAGCTGAACTGTTTGTGCTCGGAGAATCGAATTGGGATAATACTTTACCAGCGGAACGGTTCGTGATCAGAGAACCAAATTGGGGCAATACTTTAACAGCGGAACGTTTCGTGTTCAGAGAACCAATTTGGGGTAATACTTGAACAGCTGAACGGTTCGTATTCAAAAACCAAATTGGGGTAATTCTTGAACAGCAGAACGGTTCGTGCTCAGAAAACCAAATTGGGGTAATACTTGGACAGCTGAACTGTTTGTGCTCAGAGAATCGAATTGGGATAATACTTTAACAGCGGAACGTTTCGTGTTCAGAGAACCAAATTGAGGTAACACTTAAACAGCGGAACGGTTCGTGTTCAGAGAACCAAATTGGGGTAATACTTTAACAGCGGAACTGTTCGTATTCAAAAACCAAATTGGGGAAATACTTTAACAGCAGAACGATTCGTGCTCAGAGAACCAAATTGGGGTAATACTTTAACAGCGGAACGGTTCGTGTTAAGACAACCAAATTGGGGTAATACTTGAACATCGGAACGGTTCGTGTTAAGAGAACCAAATTGAGGTTATACTTGAACTTCGAAACGGTTCATGCTCAGATAACCAAATTGGGGTAATACTTGAACAGCGGAACGGTTCATGCTCAGATAACCAAATTTTGTTAATACTTGAACAGCAGAACGGTTCGTGTTAAGAGAACCAAATTGGGGTAATATTTAAACAACTGAACGGTTAATATTAAGAGAACCAAATTGGGGTAATACTTGAACATCGGAACGGTTCGTGTTGAGAGAACCAAATTGGGGTAATACTTGAACATCGGAACGGGACGTGTTCAGAGAACCAATTTGGGGTAATACTTGAACATCGGAAGGGTCGTGTTCAGAGAACCAAATTTGGGTAATACTTGAACATCGAAACGGTTCATGCTCAGATAACCAAATTGGGGTAATACTTTAACAGCGGAACGGTTCATGCTCAGATAACCAAATTTGGGTAATACTTGAACAGCAGAACGGTTCGTGTTTAGAGAACCAAATTGGGGTAATATTTAAACAGCTGAACGGTTCATGTTAAGAGAGCCAAATTGGGGTAATACTTGAACA